GAGACAAGCTCCTTCGGATCGGAATAAAAAAGCTTGCTATTCCCAGGTTGGGATGTGGTTATGACGGACTGGAATGGAGGATTGTAAGAAATATGGTGCAGGAACTTTTTGAGGACACTGGCATCGACATTGTGGTCTGCGTATACAACCCATGGGGAACCGGAGACATTATAGGTCCAGAAGATCCCAAACTTCGAGAGAAATCTGTTCTGGGTCAGAACAGTCTTAAGGAGGGGGCAGTGTTACAAGTCAGGAGCCCCGCGCAACAATAGCCAGGCGCCGTCACAAAAGGGTTGTTTGTTTACACGGGTTTCTCAGAACGCACCACTGATAGACAATAGACCTATGTCAACGGACTACCTCAATAGGGGCCCTAGAACCTTCTACTTCTACGCCGGTTTGTAAACTACGGATGCTCGAACTCTCCACTCTAGAATGTTCCACGACAAACTTATATAAGGGACCGTCTTCCAGCACACGGCAGTTGAGTTGAGTTAAGCCTTCCGAGAATCTCGCAGCAAGCGCCCGTCGGTGACCAGTGCTAGTGCTAGTGAGAGTGACAGTGTAGTAACGGTGTAGGACAGTGTAGTGACACTAGTGACAGTGTAGTGACAGTGTTGTGACAGAAGTAGTGATAATTCCTGTAAAGGCTAGCTGTAAGTAGAAACATTGTAAATTAGAATAGGCTTTAGCTAGGTTTAGATAGGGTTAGTTAGGTGTTAGACAATTGTAAAATTTGTAAATAGATAATATTTAGTGTAAATAAATAGTTATTATAAAATCACCAAGTTTTATTTGTAAAGAACCTGCTAAGCCCGCAACAATAATATTTATTTTGTACTACAAAAAAATCAGATTTGTATACAAAGAATCATAGTAAAAAACACAAACACTCATAATTCCATTCTTAATTAGCTGATGTAAGTGTTTGGTTATTGTCTATAAGTACTATCAACATTTTGTACACCTTTTAATAGTTTGAACCCAAAGCAAAATGAGCAACGAGTTTGTGTGTTTGCATAATGAATTGATCTTCGTTAATTTAATTTTTTTTTATTGTATAGCAGATTGTCTTAAATATGAGCAAATTACTGTGTCAGTTTTAGAATTAGCTCTGTTGAGCCTTCCTAAGCTAATTAAATTACCCCACTGTAAAAAAGTACACAAAAACACTCACCCTAAGGGCTCGCTGAACAGGAAAGTTGGCGATCGTGATATTCACTTTGTGTTCCTCGAACAGATCCATCAGCTGAGAAAAGTTCTGTTTGTTCCACAGTCCTGGCGCAATCGTGCTGCGTACACTGTAGAACGACGCAGCTGTCTCACCCCATAGGAATGGTTTCCACTCCGTGAGAACGATGCCCAGACTTTCATACAACTGGAGAAGCTGTTAACAAAAAAATAGTCACATTACGTTGTATCGAGTCGAGGATATTAAAACAATATTGATTAGCAAACTTTAAAAATTAGTACAATCCTAGTTGCAGAGTTCATGAAAGTGTTCATGAAATATAGCTGAAATTGTATTTTGAGGTACAATAAAGATTGTTCTACATTTTAAGATAAAAAAGTAAACCAAATGTTAAGCAACAATTCCCGATTGATTATAATGTATCTGCTTAGATAACTAAATAAACCAATAAGGAAGTGTACCAATTGAGGGGCGAGATTCCTTGAACCACCATTCCTTCCAATCAAATGTCAATTAAATTAATATCATATTTAGTGGTATTTTATTTTGAAAAGTGATAACGAGTTAATGAGATTTAAAAAAGAATAAAATATGTACATTGATATAACACATATTAAATAAAAAAGTATGATTAGATATCGCTAATAATAGAAATGTTATATCTGATTTTGTTTGCCAGGGTGTCAAATTAATAGAATTAACATTAACCAAACCACTTAAGTTTTCTGATTAATGAACTTGAAGAACAAATGCAAAATTGAAACATAAAAGATTAAGGAGTAACTACCAATTTGTTACACTAATATACCCAGGTGGGAGTAGGTTTTTATACCAATTTTAATTGTGATTCACCTAATAATCAAGACATTTACATTTGTAAAATTCAAATCATATCACTTAATAGATATCAATGACCACACACTGTGGTAACTAGCAGATAAGACTGTGACCTTCACTAAGTTTTCAGTGAAGGGATACTGATATCTGTGGTGCAGATGAAATGACTGTGTTGTAATGTGAGTAAAACCCCAAAACAAAGGTACTTTGGTACACGGAGGCCACCCTTATACATCGTGCTGCGGCAGTTGGTTATGTTAGGTTAGGTTATCATAAATAGGAAGTAAGACTCATCTAGCATCGTTCGATTCATTCATAACGAAACAAGGAAAGTCCTAAAAACATATTTATGATAACCCAGCCTAACAAAACCGGCGCAGCGTGCTGTAAAATAAGTGACCTCAGTTGAACTCTTTTACTACAAAAATATTTCTTTGTTAATATAATTTATTGGATTAATTAAAAATACAAAAATAAATGAATCGTTGATCACAGGAAATTTAGAGCAAGAAAATAACTTATTATGCCATAATTTAATTTGTACTAGGAAAAAATCGAGGAGATGAAAACTGACTCGTAGGCTAAGATCGGCTCAGTTCGATTTTCAAGCTGCTCACACACCTGTGTTGATATGTGTAATTTATGTCGGATATTCCGAGTTTGAGTTGGTTATGCCCGAGGTTGCTATACTGAATGGATTAAATTATACAGACAGTTTGACTTCCCTTCAATGAAGCCGTACAGACTTTTGAGGTCCATGTGACAGACGAATGCAAGATTAAGAGAGGCTGACAAACATCTTACCTGCAGTATGAGTTGATCTGTTGTGCTGAGTGAGGCAGAGTATGCAGCCAGTAGTACAGGTACATGAGTGGAGACCATCACAGACGAGTCTAGCCTCAGCAGACTCAGTAGCAGTTCTAGCAGTGCGGCTGATAACAGAATACATTGTAGTTTGCAAATAAACATACATTGTTGAAGCTGCAGTCTATTGCACTGTTTCCCAACTTGTCTTCCATCACAAGGCACACAAGGCATACCACTTAGTCAAATGGATGTAATTATAGATGGAATGTTTGTTGTTTATTATTTAGCTTACCTAACATACTCATTTGCAAACCATAAATATGACGCTTTGCCGGGATAAATTTTTGCAATTGACAAACGAGTGAAGCACTCAGCACGAGAGCAAGAGTTTTAGTTCCGCTCATATTACTCAAAAGCTATTATGTCATGTCAGTTTGATTTCATTACAACCAAAAAGAATCTTATCCTTACCCTAAACGTCTTGTTGAATATACAAAGGTGCCAATTGGCCATAAATTAATGCTGACGCATCAGCCCAGACAATTATGTAGACAAGAACTAAGTTTTAAAGCCCATCAAAGGCAGCTGTATTAGGTTTCAACCATCAAAAAGTTACTGACTTTTCTATGGATGCCGCTCACCTACTTCAAGGCATTTAGGCTGTGTTACGGCAATTAGCAATCATACAGAATGTAAGAACTATGCAGCTTCTATTCTGGATTTTTTGGGGAGCGAGCAGGTCTAGTGGAAGAGCACCGGACTTCAGTCCCCAAGGTCTTGGGTTCAAATTCCGCCAATCACCAATGGATTTTATCCAAGTGATGGTGCGGCGACCCTCTTGGCCTTGCCTGAAGTAAAGTGAAAACAGTTCCGTGCTAGAGCCTACACGTCCTAGGATGTAAGGATAAAACATCAAAAAGTGCTTTATTTATAACAGAAACAATAAAAAAAAATAATTTTGACATCGTGTAAATATAAGTGATAACTCTAGAAAAAGAAAGAGTGTTGAACCTATTGACACTGATGTGAAAATTATCCACTTACTTTTGGTTGGAGTTGGTTTGCCGAGCATCACTGTGAGGAACTGAGAGTGGGACAGAACCATCTCCGTGATAGTCTTGACTCCCTGGTGATCCTTGGAGTAGACGACGTCACACAGGGCCGCCAGGGTAGTCAGTAGGAAACTGTTGTCTTCGTCAGGGTTTTCCCCCAGCTTCAGAGACAGCCGCACCCATTGCATCCACTCTTCAGACTTGACTACTGGTTTCCACTCAACTTCTTCTGGGGATTTGAAACCTTCCAGAGCTGTCCTTAATGTACCACACACTGTCTTAGCACTGAAAAGAAAAATTTTGTGTCAAACTATTTTAGAATATTTAAACTATAATATTTGACTGTTGATACAACTGGAAATTCCATCCCAATGTTAAATTTGTCGCCAGATTTTTAATCTAAATTGTCTTACTCGATGTGAGCCACTGACAGATTGTGCTAAATTAAATTACTGATTTCTGTCAAATATATGAACTTTTTTAACAAGATAAACTAATGCAATGAATTATTGTGAGTTATAGCAACTGTTAAAACCCATCAATTTGGTCAGCAAACAAAAAAAATGTATAAAAAATAATTTAAACGTTAATTGTATTTCCAACCAACAAATTATTTATTCTCATGATCTAACCCATGACCTAAAACTTTTTTAAAACCATTTTCCTGATTGATAAGTATAAAACTTTTAAAAATAGCACTAAATACATTGATTAAGAAATTATTAAAATCGATTTACAAAAGTAAAGGTTTTAGTTACAAAACACCTTGAAAGCAAGTGAAACATTACCACCTTTTACATTTATTACTTATTTCTCAATCCATAAATTTTCTTGTGACGTTTCCAACCCAAACGTTCATGTTCCCCAAACATTAATTTTGCTGTCAGCCAACTATATTGACTAACTGACAACGCACATTGTTGAGACTGAAATTAATCACAAAAGCCGGGTTTTGTCCTGAAGTAAAGCAAAAGCACACATGTCAACTGGTAACAAAACTGACAAACGAGCAGAGTTGTGAAGGGTATGAAGGATGATTTCATTACTACTGCATGGTCGTACGGCCTCTATTGATTGTGCCCACGTTGACCCCTGACCCGCACACAGTAACAGTAGTGACAGTGGTCACCATGCCTCCAAACCTAGCACACTCCTTCACTAACTACCTGTGTAAGTCAACACACGCAATACACACTGCTTACTTGATCTCATCATTGCTGACGTAAAATATGTATACTGCAGTTGAATGCACTGCTTACTTGATCACATCATTATTTATGTATGTAAAATAAGCATACTTAAGTTGAATAAGTTTGGCTTTCTTGATCATTACTTTCTTATAAGATATGTAACTAGGGTTGATTAATTCAAGATAATACACGATACTCAATGTTTATTACTTTTATGAATTATCTAAACTGGAATTAAATTCATTCAAGATTTCACATGCTGCCTACTTCATCATTAATTTGTCAAATCAGTAATTACCAGGGGTGTATGTAAGCTCTCATACACTGCTTACTGAATCATTGCTTGAAAAAAATGCATTTACAGTAAAATTCATTCAAGATTATACACTTACTTTGGTTATTACTTTTGTTATATATAAAACTAGATTAAAATTAATTTAAGGTTATACAAGCTGCCAATAGATTGTTACTATCGTATTATATAAGATTTATTCCAGATTTATCACTATTTTCATGCTTTTATTTGTTATTTTTAGCACAAGTATTATACCTGTTAAATTGCTTTTAAAAATCATTACTTGATTAGAATTTGAATGTTGTTAGTAAATAGAACAGAGAGAAAGGTACCAAGATTAAAATCGTACAATTTTTTTTTTCAAATTCAATATTTTGGTGTACATAATGTAATCTAACAATAGCAGGAGGATTTTGACTAACACCTATAATAGAGACTTTATGCAACTTTTTGTATTTTTTACCAACTAATATGATAGTTTCTGAAAAAAATATTCACAATGATTTATTTTTATGACATAACCTTCTTCTAATTGTTTAAAAACTTTAAAAAAGTAGTTAAGTAAAAGACTAAAAGACTAAATGTTTACTAAACTTTAACTAAAATATCTGTAATATGGCAAACAAGTTTGGAATTTTACTGACTTGTGTACTTAAATTGGGTTACGTGTTTGAAATTTGACCCCATACATATCTCAAACCTATTTTAACTTAGTGTTCCAAAGGAAATCATGAAAGATTTAATTTCAAATAATGTTTTAGTTTTTTTACAACTCCTATGTTTTATCAATAGTTGAAGTAGTCTGAGTTTGTTTTGCCCTACCACAACAAGGTAATCACATAACATGTGTCTCAATGACAGTAACGTGCAACGTGAGAGGTCAGTTTTTGCGAGGCTCGGTCTACAACTGACATTCATCACTTATCAAACAACGTCTTGTTATTGATTACGTGGCCTTCACACCCCAGTCCCCCAGTGACCATCTGATCACTTGTAACAATCTTGTTTGACAATTGTGTCAACAATGGGTTAATTAATTTAAACGTTCCTCAACTTTGACAGGTCTGCTGTGATGTTTACAGTACATTGTAGCCATTGTAGCTCATGTGCATTTTGTGAGATTCTGAACACATCTATGTGAAAAGGTTTAAGTCATGACTTTAAAAAAAGTTATATATAGCCTATATTTAATTTACAGAAAAACATGAGAAGTACATTTTTTAAACTACAGTAAATAAATGTCACTGTTAAAAAAAATCACCATTATGTTTTCTCCCATATAGGTTTGGATTACACTTATTTTGATAAATGAAATAAGAAATGTTTACAGTTTTAGGCATGCAAATGCTAAACTATCATATTTATTTATTGAAATGATTGGATTTAGTGGAGAAGAGATATTTAATTGGTCCATTTAGACAGTATTTCCAGATAGCTTAAATTAAAGTCCATATTACTGAAATTTATTTTTACAACTTTAATTAACTTTACCGGCTAGCTGAAGAACCGTAACATCATTTGATGGTTAGTTGTTTGTTAAGGATTGTTACAAATCGACATTTAAATTTTAGGGCAAACAGCTTGTATTATTCCATTGGATTTTGTACAAAAGAACTAGTAAAAAAAAAAAAAAAATTTACTGCAAAATCTGTATTAACAAACTTAAGTACCTGTCATTGATTACTATATTTTTTTACAAAATTGCAAAACAGAGTAGAGAATTAATTAATCTTTGTCTGTAACATTTTCACACAATTCATTCTACACTCACCCTTTCATCTTTTTCTTAAGCTTCTCACCCTGGTGATTCAGGATCAAAGTACCATAAACATTGAAAACATTCACTATATTATAAATGTTTATACAAGCTGCTATAAAATACATTCTAAAAAAATTAAAAAATAATTCTTTTATTTTATTTGAGTTGATACATGTGTTTCATAACAGGAAGAGAACAATGCTGTTTTTTTTTTAATTCTATAAAAAATGGTTACACATCTATTATTTATATTAGAATCTAAACTTAATTTTACCACTTAGTGAAGTAAAATTATTTTTTATATTAGGATAAGGGTTTTAAATTTACGAAGCTAACATTATAGTAAGTGTTTAAAAATACTGTATCAGAGCTCATAGGTTATTTTTTCATACCAATACTATTCAACAAATCTACTTACTCTCAGCTTCATTTTGATGTGCCATATGCAAAACACCTTAAACAATGACCACAAATCTGACTGTATCACTTTAATAATATGATTGATTTAGGCGTAAAATAACTCTTAAATTATACTGAAATGATACTTAATCATCAATTGAATCCAACCTGGTAAAGTTGTTGGTGGTAAGAGACAGCAGGAGTTGTAAAGTTTTGGCCACAAAGTCAGCTGTTTGAGCAGCAACGCAAAGATGTCTTGCGATGACAACATGTGGCTCAGTCCATTCTGGTACATTGTAGAGGGCTGACACTACCTCCTCTCTGGTATCATCTAAACAACACAAAAAACTGGTGAAGAAGAAAAATTAACATAGATAACATTTTGAAGCACACATGTCAACTGGTAACAAAACTGACAAACAAGCAGAGATGTGAAGGGTATGAAGGCAAAAATGCTCAGAAGTATATGTTTTAGCAAAAATATGGATTGAATCCTTGTTCTTCAGAAGAAAGCCATAAGAGCCCTTGGCTTGCCAACCTTGTCCCACCACAGACTTGCAGACCAGCTTTCACAGAACTCTTCACAGTGGCTCTCTACATACTTGAAACCATAAAGTAGGCCTATGTGGATAAAATAAATCCCCCAAGAAACCAAGACCTGCACCACTACAACACTCGTCATGGCTCCAAATTCGTCCTACCAGTTCACCGAACCACTCTCTGGGAAAAAACCCTTCCTACACCAGTCGCAAACTGAGGAACCATCTACCTGACTACCTGAGAGACCTGACTGGCAACAAGCTACACCAGGAGTTGAAGAAGTGGCTGATGGCAAGACCCTTCTACTCACTCAAGGGAAAATCTGCGCATACTGTTAGAAAGATATTTTCCTGTAAATGTGTAGAATCCCTTTATAAATTAAAAAAGACTATAAAATAAACGCAAAAAATAGTTTAAAATTTAAAAAAATTAACATGGGCCTTATGGGTTGCCATAACACCCAACTTACCTGATGCCATAATTAATGATGGCCTTATGGGTTGTCATGCTTGTGACAAAATAACAACAAAATATAAACAGAAAATCAAAATAAATTAAAGAAATTCCAATAACATGTTTTATTTACAGCGTGGGGTGAAAATAGAGATGCACATTACATATTTTTAGTTGAGTTTTCGACCACTGGACGATCTCTAGTTTATATTATTTGATAGATAAATATTCGTGTTGCCAATTAAAACTGATGCGGGAGCACACATGAAATGAGATAATAAAATTAAAATTAAATTGAAAACTGTATTTAATTAGTAAACATATTTTAACAAACAGATAAATAACAACAATCATCAATATGATTTCATATGTTTTCTAAATGAAAGGGAAATATGAGAAGCAGTGCACGTTTAGCAAAACAAACAAAAAACAAAACAAAAAGCGTTGGTAGGGTTGACGTCGGATTAACTGACCCTGGCCAACAGAGGCTGAGCTATTGTTGGATCAGTTTCTTCCCGAGCACACATGTTGGACGTCAGATCCCTCGTGAGTACAAGCTGTTGATAAACTTGTCGTAACCGTCATCAGATAAGTACACACTACGTTAGTAGACTTTGACAAAGCATGAAACCTTCAAATTGACTTGTATGAACACAAAAGTGAAAATAATTACAAACTTTCTCTCTGCAAGCATTTTGTTTTTAAAATACCAAAAACAGTATCTTTTGAGAGCTACAATTATTTTGTTCAAAAAGTAATTCTCTTGCAATATGTTTGATTACAAGTTTGATAACAATGAGACAATAGGGTATAAAATATTGATTAATTTACAGCTACAAAACTGTGTATTTAGAATGAACTAATTGTTTTAAAAAAATTACAAAGGTCCCTTAATAAATAATGTTTTGGACTAAAAAAAAAAGCCGGTGTTAGTCAGTCACAAAACGATTAATTAATTAATTACTTCTTTCATTACAAATCAACCACTCATCTGTACATTAAAGTTTGTACCCGAGTGCATAGAAAATTAATTAATATTTTTATTGCAATAATTAAAACTTATTTTTAGTAGTTTCGAAAATTATTGTATTGTATACCTTATTTTTATTTGGTGATACGTTTAACCATTAAACATTTGGCATAGAGTAAGCCTTTTATTCTGTCTATATCTGAAAATAAAATCTACTATTGACTGACGATGTGAACACAAATTTTCATTTGTGAAATTTCTAAAGGGGTATAACAAACAATGTGCAATAGTATAATTATTAATTCTTATTACTACTTCTAATGATTTATTGAGATAGTCAACAAAATGTTCAATTTAATGAGATGCAAATTTAACTGTTCTGAATTTAGATTTGTAATAAACATGTTCTTTTAAATATGCCTTAATCTTTTAGATATGGCATATGGTTCCTAAATCACACATATCTAATACTGTTGACTTCAATTGGATAACTGAGTTAGTTGACCTGTTAAAGCTTTTATCATTTGAACTTTGTTGGTAATTAATCTTGTTTGTACACACATG